TCCCCAGGAAGCTGTCTCTTCCTGGGACTTTTATAGAGTAAAACCATGTGGTGAGGTGGGTCTAAGGTGGTGGAGAAGACACAGGAATTCGCTTAGGTGGACATGAGGTGAGACAAGACTATGGTCAATGAGATTACAAGCACTATTGCTCAGGTAAAATGGATTCAATCCAGCACCATATAGGAAAGCGAGTCACTTAGCAAGCAGGCAAAAATACGGGACAGGATCTCTTCCTGTTGGGGTTTGGGATAGTCACTCATTTGGTAAGTGGGTGCTTTAATCTGCTAAACTATTTGGCCAGCCCAATTTTTTTTTTAAATGCAAAAAAAAAAAAAAAAAAAAAAAAATCAATGCTTAACCTGAAGCCCAGAATTTTACAGTCTTTTTACATTTCAAGACAAAACTATTAAAGCTCATTCTTTTCTATTCCTCTGACCCTCCAATAATTTAAGGGCTGCTTTAAAAAGTTATTCAACATGGAAGGCCTAAAGTGGCTCCAAGTAGCCAAAGATGTAAGGATGAGGAAAACACCTCACATTTGGAAATTGCTAGGACATCAACTGATTATTCTGAAAGTGAGGAAATATGGTAAAGAATCAAGTCTTATCTTTATTCCTCTATGAACCAACAGGACAACCTCACAAGTGAGGAAAAATTCTTCATAGAAAATTTTCAGGTAAATTGAAAATGACTAAGCTATCAATAATTTCAACCTCTAAAGCTGAAAATACTTAGGCAATAAGCAAAAAAGGTTGTTAAAATCAGGTAGATTAGACTGAAAATTTCATCATGCAGATAACCAGATGCATCTTCTCAGGTGGTAACACAGAAAAGTACCGGAAATCACACCTTGGCAAAATAAACCAAACAATCCATCAACCATCTGACCAAGCCTCTAGATCAAATTTCATTTATAGGAAATATGAGATTATAGCACATGATGAACACCACCATTCAGAAGTAGTCAGCAAATCAAGAATATGGAAGATTCAACAGGACAAAAATTCTTTGACAAATGGAAAGAAAAAGATGAAAAACAATTACAGATTAAATGACATCTCAAATGAATGCAATGTATGGGCCTTGTTTGGCCCCTAATTTAAACAAAACTACATAAAAGATATTTACATAAAAAGGGAAATAATGTCTCATTGCTGTTTATCAATAAAACTT